CCTGTATAGCCGCCTGCTCGATGGCCTGACCCCTTGGGCAACACTGGTGCGTTGAGATTTGGATGGAGACGTTACTGGCGCCTGCTCGAGTAAGATGTCCAGCAGTGAGGCAGGTTACGATGGTGGTGAGGTGTGCACCTTCGACAGGACTCGTTTACAGTCAATATGCCTGCAAACGAGAGGACATGTGAGAGGGCCAGGATTGGAGCGCAGCCAGAGCAGTCTTTCCCTTCACTTGTTGTACTCCTGGATGGAACTGATGCTGGAAAAGACGGCCCTGACTGCGCTCCCATTCATGCCTCCTCACACGCCCTCTCGTTTGCAGGGATAATGTCTGTACGTTCACCATCAAGGCCGATATCACCTTTTTCCTTGTCCCTCCAATCTCCCACAGAAAAAGCTCCCTATGGAGGAGGCAATGCGCCTATGTGGAAGAGCAAAATTGACTCCCTTGATCACTCCGTGCCCTTGTAGTCATATCGACATCTTTTAATCTTTTCCAATTTGCCCACTGAATGAAAAACTCGTTCCTACTAGTAAGGGTGAAAGGCTGAATTGGGAGATCATGGAACAAGCAATATACCGTTAGTAGTATTAGTTCAGCTAATGGATGTGAAAGTTCAGATTGGAAGTTCTGAGAAACTGGTGGAATTTAGTATACTGAACCGCGCGTAAAAGAGTGTGTAGCAGCGGTGAGGGCCCACAGTACCACTCAGTTTTCGCCTAGGCAGCACCTGGCTACAGGTGGAGAGCGGAATTAGCGTCGTTCCAGCTTTCTGGCCTAAGCTCGGGGTTTCCCTGGCTAATAATAGTACCTCAAACTTGGGCAACTAAACGGGCTTATTGTATGCCCAAGCCTGCGTTCATGGGCCGAAACATTCAATTACACGCGCAACTTTTGGGAATACTGTAACCTGTCTGTTTTCCCAAAGACATAGTCGTGTGTATTAAGTACATTAGCAGGACTTTGCGATGTAAAATGGCCTGCTGTGTTCTGCAGTGTGGTACAGCAGAGCACCTATAAAATGATAATAACCACTATAACATAACAACAACAAAACGGGAAAATAAACTGTCAACAGCTGTCATATGTCACATAAATATTTACAATAGCTTTCACCTTACTAGTAGGAACGAGTTTTTCATTCAGTGGGCAAATTGGAAAAGATTAAAAGATGTCGATATGACTACAAGGGCACGGAGTGATCAAGGGAGTCAATTTTGCTCTTCCACATAGGCGCATTGCCTCCTCCATAGGGAGCTTTTTCTGTGGGAGATTGGAGGGACAAGGAAAAAGGTGATATCGGCCTTGATGGTGAACGTACAGACATTATCCCTGCAAACGAGAGGGCGTGTGAGGAGGCATGAATGGGAGCGCAGTCAGGGCCGTCTTTTCCAGCATCAGTTCCATCCAGGAGTACAACAAGTGAAGGGAAAGACTGCTCTGGCTGCGCTCCAATCCTGGCCCTCTCACATGTCCTCTCGTTTGCAGGCATATTGACTGTAAACGAGTCCTGTCGAAGGTGCCACCTCACCATCGTAACCTGCATCACTGTGCTCCCGTTGGACATCTTACTCGAGCAGGCGCCAGTAACGTCTCCATCCAACTCTCAACGCACCAGTGTTGCCCAAGGGGTCAGGCCATCGAGCAGGCGGCTATACAGGAGTTCGTTTCACATCCAGTGGAATCCAGTCGGTAATCGCTCTAGGTATAGAGGTCATCTTCGAGAAGCATGACGTGCCCGGCCCACCTGATCTTCAGGATTTTCATTAGAAGTTATATAGAAACACAATGCAAACAATTCACAAATATTATTATACTGATACTACTACTAAGAACATTTTGGGTGTTTTCTTGTAGTTTCTTGCAGTTTTTCTCCCAATTTCTAAAAATTCAGCCCTATTAACGCTCAACAACCTGCTTTTAAATCAAACTTGAATACATGGCGCACTCCAAAAGTCAGTGCCGAAGACGCCGCTTGCACGGCTAATTATTACATTTTTTTTACTGTATAGTCCCCATACCTACATCTTCACAATTATAATGTAGTACCACAACTATGGATACACCAAAATTTTTTAATAAGAGAAAAGCCTGCAACTGAGGTAAGGGGCACCACGCGTTTCCCATTTGCCAATCTCCGAATTCCCGCTCAAACAGCTCCTCGATCTTTTGGTGTGAATCACTTTCCAATTTTTTCGGATATCCTTGGGCTGGGCACCAGTCCCTTTTCCATCAGTCATCAAAACGGGCGAGAGGCAACAGATAGAGGAAAACGGGTTGGCGCAGCGCAAAACCCCGTCACTGTGACACGCGCAAGCATCCGCAGCGAGCAGGATCGCGTACCGGCTGTAGGACAAAAAGGTTCATTTTTTTGTGCATGTCTGGTAAGAAGAAGGAAGCCAAAGATTCCACGTCTCCGCTTTTACAGCGTTGCTCTGGATGATTTTCACTGAATACCCAGAGCATTTCCACATGTAATCCAGATGTTGCGCTGTTTCTTGAAAGACGAGTGCGTTCGTGGGCTTAAAGGATGCTTTACACTTTCTCATTTGTCATTTTTCGGCTGTAAAGTGAACCAGTATGCTCGCAATAGTTTCTGAGCAAAGCTGCGACCATTTTCAAAGCACACTGCCAAGGGTTGAGTTTTGCCGAGGGACCAAATCCCACATAAACTTTACTTTTCATGAAGTGGTATGGGAGCCTTGTCAAACCTCACCAACTAGACTTTTCAGAAATTGGCGGGAACGTATTGTTCGCTGCGGATGCTGGGGCGTATCAGGGGTGTGTTTGACGCGGTGCTCAGCTAGTTTTCCGCCACTTGTGGTCGCCTGCCAGCTTCCACCATTGGTGGAGAATGAGTTTGCGCCTCCTCAAACCAGCCCCTTTGCGATGCCTCAGCATCCGCGAACAAGGCTTTAATGGGTCATAAATTACAGATCAATCAATCTGTTGACTGAAAGCACGATCTTCCGATCTATGGCCCTGTTTTTACTCAACCGACATCGGCCTGAAAATCATTGATTCCATTCCAGGAAAAAATCTTGAACTGGTACAGTTGTTGATCGAGCGCGACAGTCTTCACATGGAGCATGACTCGTTATTAGTTGACATTGATGATTTCACAGAACATGAAACAGAGGTAAGTTGACCAGTTCCAAATAAAGTTCAGGTTTATAATTTAGAACTTTTATGCTGTTGTTCTCACTGGGTAAAAAGTGTCCTCATTAGGGTTACTTGTTGAAGAATAAATAGCAAGGAAAGCCGGATGGGTGCAACCTCGTGGATTGTGCTTGTTTGCTAGGGGTGCTGGGGCGTGTCAGAGGGGCTCAGTTTGGCAGGGCGCCAGAAATTTCCACCAATCGCTATCGCGTACTCCGTTCAATAATTGTGGAGAACAGGCTGGCGCCAAACCCGGTCGCCTGGCACGTCCCGCACCTAATATGAGGATTTGTTTAGGAAAAGATAAATAGTAACATGGATGGACCTAGTGGATGTGACCTTATCACGAATTTTTCAGTGTTCGGCGCTGGACTTCCCTCATCTTTTGGCTATGATGGACGGTTTGATAACTCCACCGGTGAAAGATGATCCGAATACGCTGTCGCCAAATACAGGCCTCTTGTCACCAAGTCAAAATGGAGCTCCAACTCCAGCTCCAACTCCAACCACTCCGACAAAAGCATTTGTTGCGCAATTACCAAAATCTCTCTCACGATTCGTGCTCTTCCGACGCTGAACACATTAGCCATCAGAGTGCAATTTTGAGATTTTATTTTGATTTCATTTTGTGAAATAAAAACAAAAACGCATCATTGAGCGTTCAAGCCAAACTATATGTGTGAGTGTTTAACATTGTTTTCACTGCTGAGCAATAATTTCGATAGATAATAAATATACCTATACAACTGTTACACATTGCATTTAATGATTTGCTGGATACACATGCGAATGGGGGGGCGGGCCAGATTTGAGGCCAACCGAGATTCTAGAGCGTTGTTCGAGCTTCCAAGCGCAACTTGGGCTGTGGAAGGTGAAAATTAGCTACGACGAGAGCCTTCTCAGCTGGCAGGGCACTGGCTCATGTACAGTCTTGTTAGCTGCAGATGCTAAGGAGACGTGCAGGAGAACAGAAACATTGTGCGCAGCAATTGGGCGCGAGTTTCCTTGATATTGCAGTGCCCTTATGATTCAGCATCGGATTTCGTATACCAAAGACAGACGCGCAAACACTTGAGTTTCCTTATTTTATGATTTATGCATTGTCTGTTCTTGCCGATATCTACCTAAAATCGTGGCCCATTAGCGGGCGCGGAACGGTCAGCGTGCGAACCGGCCATCGAGCGCCGCGAATTACGAGATTCTCTTGCTAGATAAGGCGCCCGGAATGCTGGAAGTGTATCAGGAAGAGTGAATCCAGCGCTGCGCTAGCTAGATATCTATCGATTGTTGGAGTGGGGTAAGCGACAACAATCGGACTGCGGATACTGGGGCTGGGTTTGGCGCCGCGCCGAACCAAGCCCCAGTATCCGCAGCTGACAAGACTGTAGAAAGAAGTAGGGAGGAAGGAACAGATCCTCAGGGATCCGAGGAGTAGAAAACCACCAATTAGGCAGCCAGGTAAGGAGTATTGCAAAAAATACCGCCATGAAAATGCTAGATTGGTTGAGCTTAAGCCAACATTTTTCTTCTTCAGAAAGCATTTTTTCCGCTGCTGGACGCTGCGCGTCAGGTGATGGTGGGGTGCTGAGTTGGGCGCCGGCCAGCTAGAACAGGCAAGCGACAACAGTTGGTGGAACACGGCCTGGCGCCTCGCCAAGCCACGCCACGTCTTGATTCAGCTACCGAAAAAAAAGAAGATTCTCAGTCGCACGGAGGCACAGGAAGCGGCTGGCAAGACCGAATGTTCTCACCAGGATCTTCCGCGGGAATGAATAGACCTTGAAGGCGCTGCTCGCCGAGGAGGGTATTTTGCACTTTCGCAGTTCCACTGGTTCCGGTTGACAAGTCTCACTCTGGTAAAACCTGTGAACTCTGTGAAGCTGGGCAAGCTCGTGGAGCCACCCTGTTAAAACCTGTCGACTCTCGCAAGATTCTGTCGATGGCTCGGATGGGATGGCTCGAGATGGGAAGTGGTAGAAGTGCAAGATGCCCCCCCCCGTCGCCGAACTGCGCTAACTTTGAATACTGCTTCTTGAGCAGTTTGAAAGCGTACTGTGTACACCAACAGCTGAAACGATAAAAAACAACCCAAAGGACCTGACACCCAGATACAGGCATTTTCCACCCCCCCCCCCACTTCCTGAGTCGAACAGAATTACGCTTGACAATTCGATGTGCCCCAATATTTTCTAGATTCTCAGCTTTCACACGATATGTTGCCCTTCAATTGTTGAAATCAATGGCTAATAAAACATGGTTCTAAATGTGAACGTGAAGCTCCAACATGTTTTATTGCAGAAGACGCCAAAGATCCAAAAATGATTCCAAATGCAATTTGCAATTTTATTGCAGATCTTTTAGTGTTTTATTGCAACTCTTGCAATTAAACTTGTTGCTGCCTTTTCATGTTTTACATTTGGAAATCCAATAGGGCTTCGGGACAGCACAATGCCACGTTCAATGGAAATGGTGCGAAATTTTTCGTACAGAAGGGATTGAGAATCTCAGCGTTCCTCAGAACTGCTTTCGCACTGCGTTACACAAAAACCTTTAGGATTCACAGTTTAAAAAATGGGGCAATACACAAAAAAAGCAGAAATTTCGAAAAATTCCACATTATCAGAGAAGTTTGAATAGTCAGAGCCACAGGCGTTCTCCGTTATGCAAGCCTCGGACTCCAGTACTAACAGAATAAGCAGCACTGCTAACAGGAGCGTGATTCTCGCCCACCGTATATTCATTCACTCCATATCGCGGAGATGGAGAGGGTGTGACTCTGCACTTCATCTTTGCTAGGACGCGTTTTTTTTTCAAGATATTCATTCAAAAAAACTGTCTTCTGCTGGACAAAGACATTATTAGAACTTCCTCAAAACTGCAACGTCCCATCAAACGAGCGACTGCGGCCATGTTAATGTAAAAGACGCAGCCACGTCCTCTCCATCTTCGGGAGTATAAGCTTCATTATATAATTATGACCAGTTCACAAGCACAAGGTGTCGCCGGAAGCTCAGGGCGTCTCCCCTGCCATTCAGGTAAATGTTCGCAAAATATGACCCCCTTTCTTGAAACCACCTTTCTTGGTACCACGCCTTCCCTACCATCTTTCTGAATTTTTTCGTTTTCCTACCGCTTTTCCGCTTTTTTCCTAAAATCCCTCCACTCTTCCCCCAAGTGGATTGTCAGATTGCCATCTACGGGTTTACCGGGGGAGGGAGGAGGTGGAGGAACGGAT